TGTGTGTGTGTGTGTGTTTGTCTTCGTGTTTGTATATGAAGACTGGGCGGTCGTGGGTTTACCAGTGTGCAACCATGTCGCTGCGCATGTTTCTCTAATAGTGGCAGAGAAGTCGATGGTGTTGAGGTTCAGAGGAGGGAGGACTTAGTGCTTCCCTTGTGTGCGAGCCATCTCTCTCACCTTGGCACCGTTCTCTTCTCATTGATTGCAAGGGTTTTTTCTTCTTCCTCCTCATCCTACACTACTGTCTTTGCTCTCCTGTTCTCATCTCAATTTCCACATTCAAAAATTTTGTCTTTGAGCTCAATCCTCTCTCTTTCGTTGGCACCCATCTCTTTTCGTTGTTTGCAAGGGTTTTTTAATTCTTTCTCCTCCCCCTCTTCCTCCTCCTCCTCTTAATCTTCTCTCTTTCTCCTCTGTCGCATTCGTCTCAATTCCCACAGTTGACTGTATCTCGGTCTTCTTCCCACTACACTAGAATAACACGGTAGTACGTCGTTTTCTAGTGTGGCCGTCGGTGTGATAAATCTACGGCCACATCTTGTTTAGTGTAATTGCTCTTTTTTTCGGAATGCACAGTCAGTGTCAGTCATTGTGGCTTACCGCCCTCCGTCTTTCTGTTTGAAATTTCATTGTCGACTCCTTGTTTCTTCCCGCTTTCGATCGTTCATCTTTCCCCCATGATTGCACCCTCTCCTTCTCACCCCGCACACATCACGATTCACAGTGACGTCTTAACCATTGTCTTCATCCAGTTCTCTCTTTCTACCACCCTTCTCTCCATTCTCCTCCTCCTCCTCTTCCTCTTCTTTCTTGCTCGCATTCCGTCCTTCTAGACAGGACGGACTAGCACGGATATGTACAATAACTCTTTAAGTCTATAAAAGAAGACAGCATCTCCGTCAGATCATTCGTTCGATCCAGTTCTCTCCTGCCACGCTTTTCTCTTCTTCCTCCTCTTCCTCCTCTTCCTCCTCTTCCTCCTCTTCCTCCTCTTCTTCCTCTTCCTCTTCCTCTTTCTTCGCCGTTGCCCGTCGTTCTATTGAAGACGAACTGCCAGCACGGAGATGTACAACAACAAGAAGGCCAGTTTATAGAAGCATCTTCTTGGGGATTGATTACAAGCTTTGACAGCGACCTCAACACTGTTTATTTTGAATCCAATCCTCTTCCTCTACGACTCTCTCTCCTCTTCAGCTTCTTCTCTTGCTCTGTCGCTTTCTGTCAATTCCGTCTCTACAAGACGGACTAGCACGGACATGTACGACAGGACTAGATCGTGAAGGAGAAGAACCTTCTCCGGATATTAAGTACTTTTGTGGTCATTTTAGTCGAATTATACGAAGTACTTTTGTGGTCATTTTAGTCGAATTCTTACGGCTGTGAGAATCCCTCTTGCAGGCCTCTTGCAGGTCTCTTTTTCTTACTCCACTCTAGAGTAGTTATGGCTTTCGTCGCTGGTGTTAGGGACAATGGCACTGCCACTTCTCGGTTCCTTGATGAGAATAAGGCAATGGAGTCTAAGGCTGCCAAAGCCGTTCGAGTGGTTGGGCCCAGTCAAGGAGGCACAGTGAGGAGGGTTCTCGGTGAAATCGGTAATTTCACCCGGGTTAATCAAGCACAGCTGGCGAAGCGCAACGCCAAGGGAGGAGCAGATACAGCAGCAGGGCAGCGAGCCGTTGGCCTCCTGTCCCGACACGGCGATGGCGGCATCAACCATAGAGTCATCGAGGGGCCGTCTCTTGCATCGAAGCCTGGCATGCCCATCGTTTCCACTACGGATGCTTCGGCCAGCATAGCCCAGGTCGAGCCGCTACAGCCGTCTGTCGTTCTCCCACGGTGGGGAGCGACCCGATCCCGACACTACGGCATCCAGGCTTATCGCCAGGGGCAAACTGGGTCGGCGGCGGGCCTCTTGTATCCGACAGGGGGGGTTAGTACTAGGCAAGATGCGGCGACAGGACGAAGCATGAGCAGCTTGCTCGCTGCTCGGAGTGCGGAGGCGTGTAGAGGAGCCTCCTCCTCGGGTTCTGTCGAGGAGGAAGAACCGTGCACTAACATTGACTTCAACGACAGAGGAGACGTGCGGCAGGTAGTTGATTACGTGGAGGATATCTATGATTTCTACAGGAGGGCTGAGATTCAAAGTGCTGTTCAATCAGATTACATGAAGATTCAGCCTGATATTAATGCCAAGATGAGAGCGATTCTGATAGACTGGCTTGTCGAAGTTCACATGAAATTCGAATTGCTGCCAGAGACTTTGTACCTGACCACCAATCTCATAGATAGGTACTTAGCGAAGAAAGTTACTACGAGGAAGAATCTGCAGCTGGTTGGAATTACCGCTATGATGATAGCCTGCAAGTATGAAGAGATCTATGCGCCGGAGGTTCGGGATTTCGTGTTCATTTGTGACAGAGCGTACTCGAGAGCGGCAATTCTTGACATGGAAAAGAAGATGCTCAACACGCTGAACTTCAATCTTACAGTGCCAACGCCGTACGTTTTTATGGTCAGGTTTCTTAAGGCGGGCGAAGCCGACAAGCGAATGGAACAGCTGGCAAATTTCTTGGTAGAGCTAGCGCTGCTAGAGTACAGTATGATGAAGTTTTCCCCCTCGCAAATTGCTGCCGCCGCTGTATATACAGCCATGAGAACACTTGGGAGGGTTTGTCCCGGATGGAACTGGACCATGAGAAGACATAGCGGGTACACTGCAGAAGCTCTCGAGGAGTGCGCTTCAATCATTGCCAAGTGTCACAAGAACGCTAGGTCGACCTCGCTGGTAGCTGTCCCCGACAAGTACTCTACGCTCAAGTTCCTAGAAGTGGCCAAGATCAGTCCATGTCTCGAACTCATCACCTCTCCCATTATCATTGATTGACGCGGGTAGAAGTCCCTTCGTTCTTTTCTCTTTTTTACCCCTTACGATGACGTTCTGCGGCTTTGAAATGCGAAGCCACGTGACCAGTGTACGGGCATCTTGAGCTTTATACTTTATAGAATGTTGTCCTGAATTTGTGGAGAGAGAGAGAGAGAGAGAGAGAGAGAGAGAGAGAGAGAGAGAGAGAGAGAGAGAGAGAAGATCAGTTTATGTCTCGAGCTGATTGAACCTCCCATTATTGTTAATTGACGCAGCTGGAGGTGCTCTTCGTTATTTCCACCGACAGACATCCTGCGGCTTTGAACGGGAAAGCACTTGGCGAGTTTAAGTACCTCTTGAGCTCCAGGCTCTTAGAACGTTGTCCTCAAGCACACACACATACACAGACACACAGAGAGAGAAATAGAGAGAGAGAGAGAGAGAGAGAGAGAGAGAGAGAGAGAGAGAGAGAGAGAGAGAGAGAGTAGTCTGAGTAGTACCTGTGTGGGTGATAGTTGTCCTCAAGCATATACACACAACACACAGAGAGAGAGAGAGAGAGAGAGAGAGAGAGAGAGAGAGAGAGAGAGAGAGAGAGAGAGAGTCGTTGAACGCATTCTTGAACGGGTGTATTTCGTAATCGCCCCCTTTCTTTATTTCGTGTTTTTTTTCTTGTTTCTTTTTCTTTTTCAATTGCTTCGCTTTTGTATAGGTGACATTCTGCTCAGGCGAAGTTATTTCCGTTAGCCAGAATTTCATTCTCCGTTTCAATCGGGAAGCGAGACTTGGAACCCATCCTTGATCTTACCCTTTCATGTATTTCGTTGAAATTCGTTCTGAGAAAAAAACGATAAATCTTTTATTCAACAGAGAATGTGAAATATATTCTGGAGATTGATTCGTCGACGTTATGGCCAAGTCATCCCATGAATTAATTTTAGTTTTTTTTTTTTGTCTTTTTTTCTCCCATCAATTAGTTCACGACGCCAAGTAGGTTGCAGTTTGGTCATCTCAGCAAATGCAGGATGCCCGGAAGTACAACTCGCCGTCATTCTTGTTGTCATCATCATAATGTCTGAAATCACTGAAGAGAGAAGGCGGGGATTATAGCGAGAAGGCGGGGATTATAGAGAGGCTGTTCCAAGCAATCAAGTGACGTTGTATTCGGTCAGACTGTTATATTATTTAATTACCTGTTCAATAACTTGTCACGCTGGATCTTCTTCTAGTCAATTACAACTAGAGAGCAGATTGATTGAAATGGGATTGCTCGATGGACACAGCCAGAAGATCTTCCAAGTCGTTCTTCTCATCGCTTTCCTCCTCCTCCTCCTCCTCATCCTCCTCCTCATCGTCCTCCTCCTCCTTCTCCTCCTCCTCCTCATCATCATCATCATCATCAGCTGGAGTAGAAGCAGCAGCAGCGGCAGCAGCATTGTTAGATCCGAAATTCTGGTGGCTGCAGTGATGCAATCTTACGGTGGACTGACAACCGGATTATAGTGAAGGAATCTGACCGCAATTACAGCTGGATTCCATCAGGGCAATCGTGTATGTGAGTATGGTGTCATTGAGTGACGATTCTTTTTCTTAGTTAAAAGGAAGAAGAAGGCGGTCTTGTCGCTTGGCAGAGGGAGGAAAAGATTTCTCAGGAAGTCTTAGAGAGAAAGACAAGGGAGCCGACAGGAATCATGGATCCGATCCCCGCAGGAATGTTCGTGTTTGTTTCACAATCGTTGTGAATCGTGGACATGGTGCGAACGCTGTACAAGGAACAACTCCGGCTGAATGCCAACTGTTTTTCTTCACTGTGCTCGTCGTGAAGTACACCTGGCTCTGGTTCGTCTCTTTCCCTTTGCTCGTGTGTATACATGTTTGTGTGTCTGTGTGTGAGAGAGAGAGAGGTATTTTGTGTGTGTGTGTGTGTGTGTGTGTGTGTGTGTGTGTGTGTGTGTGTGTG